TTCACAGCCCGGACAGGCAGAAAGAACACAGGCATTTGCCTTCAAAACAAAAACCACTCTGAGTATCTCAACCATGAAAAGTAAATCATAATCTCTCAGATGTGATAGATTTGGCCAGTTTAGTAACATTTTAGGAACATCTTCATCCCACGTGAAAATAACATTAGAAAAGAAGACAAAGTGAGCTTTCAGAGCTAACATCAAAGTCAAAAGTTGTTTTCTAAAAATCATCGACTTGATTGTCACCTTCGGCTCAGCTGTGGCCTGGCTGTGTGCCTGCTCCAGGAGCCCTGGAGGGGTTCTCAGAGCCCTTAGAATATGTTGGGGTTTCTCTGATCATTTAAGGTGATTACTTTCACAGAACTAAAGATCTTACCTTCCCAGTGTTGACAGCACTAACATTTTTATTAAAGGTTACATATTTACTTCCTGAGGTTATTTGTACAAACTGCATTTCGTTTGAGAGGCAAAACACTTAGCACTCTGACTTGTATGGCAACTCTACAGGCATGGCCGTGACGGCGATAGGCCAGGGCATGGATTCGAAGTCACTACCTAAAACGTGTCTCAGAAACAGCAGCGTCCTCCAGGGGAGCCACTGTCGATAAACGCCAGCCTTGATCTGATTGGCCACCCTGTCTCCTAGCTGAAGGTGGGACCTACAGAGTGTGGGGGAGGAAAGGTGGAAGGAGCCAAGAGGAGCAAAGGTGCTTCTCTTTGAGTTGCAGTGTTTCAGGAAGTGGAGATTTAGAGATGCATCCTGGTCGTGTGTGTGTGTGTGTGTGTGTGTGTAAAGCTGGGAGGGGTGGGGATGATGATAGGCAATCTATCAATATGGGACCAATAAACACAAGTGTAAACGTCTTCAGTAGAAAAAAGAAACAACTGCGCAAATCATAGAGGAAAATTTGTGCTTCGATGGCAAACTGCATTATTTAGGGCACAGCTTTCTGGATTCTCTGATGGTGATTCTCTGGAGATTCTGCACCTTTCGCTGCCTTTGAGCTGTTTGAGCTGTGGAAGCGGGGGACAGCCCGTGGCGATGCAGAGCAGTTCTTGTCCCATAGGCTTGAAAACACATTGTGTCTGGTGGAAGCTCAACTGACGCTGGATTTGCCAGTTTTGCATCTGTTTGCAAATTTATTTCAGTATTCCTGATCTATTCATGTGTCTGTTCTTGGAATTTCCCTTTGAATGGGTAGTAGCATCTACTTGGTTTCCTCATTAAATAATGAGTTTAAAAAATCTTTAATGTGTGTTCATTTTATATTATATAAGAATCATGATTTTGCCTTATTTTGAAAGTTATCCTTTAACAAAATAGAGAATTTCATCGCATGTGAAAAATACTTGACGTCTTAGTTGACAATAAATTCACTGTAAGTCACGGGTGCAGTATGGTTGTTGCTTTGTTTACTTGGATCTTAAGTACTTAATTTAGAGTCACTATTCCAAGCCACGGTCAACTTGCCTTATTTTTAACCCAGTAACTGATTGATAATTGTTGCTATAAATCATATTTTAAAATCTGGCATAGCAAGCTATTATAATTATCATTTTTAAAAGAACACTTCAATATTCTTGCTAGCTTATTCTAGATGAATTACCCTGTGAGTTTGTCAGAGTCTATAATGTATTCATTTAGGATCTTGGCTTTGCATAAAAATCTATAAATATTTTCTTGGGAATTATTGTCATTTCTGCTGCATTTGGTCTTTTTAATAAGAAGCAATATATACATCTCCAATTATTCTTCTCATTCTTTATTTCTCCCATTAGGGGTTTTAAGTTTAATTTGAATAATTAAATCATTTATGTCTTGAAGTAAACAAATATGCATTTAATGGTTTTAATTGTTTAAAAAAGAATTTTGTTAACCGTTTATTTGAATATTGTGGCTGTTACTATAATTTGATGAGGTTTTAGAAGAACATTTCTTTCTTAATTTTGATTCTATTGTATTCAACAACCAAATATTTTCATCTAAATCATTTCATATTTTATAATGAAAGGTAATGGGGGAAAGTAATTTAATTGGAAAAATTATTTTTCAACAAGCTTTTCTGAAATGTATTTATTTTACTGAAAAGGAAATATCTGTATCTCTGCCTCCGTGGGCCCTATTGGCCATTTTGTGTGCTTCATCTCATCTAAGGTTCATCTGAAGAGCCTTAAGGGTCTCAGAAACTGAAACCAGTGACTAGCTTCATTGTGATTCCCAATTGCATTCGCCTGTGTCACTTGCTGAGGGTCAGCATTCGGAACTTGGATCAGGTGAACTTGAGGGGCTGCCATTTTGTGGTGTGTGTGCAGTAGGGGGGCGCTGGGAGCCTCTGTCATGGACCTGGAGTATCTGCTAGTATTTCAACTGCCCCCACATTACTCCTTCCCTGGGGGGCGAGGGGGTTGTATGGTGAGTAAGAAGTATTCATTCTGTAAAAGACCAACCAACTTTAAAAATACAGAACTTATTGTAAGAAATAAAAAATGTGAATGAAGAAAAAAATAGTTATTCAGGATTTTATGTATTATTGTGTGAAAAGAGATGAAAAACCACCCTAACAATATGTTAAAGTCTCTGCTCTGAGCAAAGACATTGTTAGTCACCTCCAGGAATGTGACAGTAATTATCCTCTTGACATCCCTTGGGCTTTTTACAATAATAATCTATCCTTAAAATGCACAAAAGTATTTCCTGTGCTCCAACCAAAAAAATAAAAGTTGAGTTTACACACAGTTGGTCCCAACTAAAATGTGGTCTAGCATTGCAACTACTAGAACTATCTCCGTGCAATAAATGCATATGTGGGAGTTTTATCAAAAACATTAAAAGTCTCCCCAGCGGGGGAACTGGAAATAGAACGTGATATTTGAGGAGCACTGTTTTTCATAGCAAGTCCTGTAGTGCTATTTGACCCTTAAACTGTGTGTATGTATGGCTTGATGAGATGCGTATTACGTTTTTTAAAAATTGATACTTCCTGTTGTTCATCTTGAGGGCTGATAATGGTAGCCTGGCAGGCCACAGGTGGTCTGGACTCTCAGGGTCTGGGATTCCTGGAGAAGTCTTCCCGGACGGAGCCCTGGAGTCAGGGGGCAGGGGGTGGAGGGGCAGGGGAGGACGGGAGATGCCTCCTGAGTTTTCTCCTTGGAGCAGCAGCCTCCTCCTCCCCCCTTCCTTCGGGTGACCTTGCCTTTGCTGACTGACAGGTGCTCCCTCCCTGGTGACATTGTGTTCCTGCAGCAGTTGACCAATTTCTCGGGGGTTTGCAGGGCTGTTGCAGAGGGTCCATGTTAACAGAGCTGCTAAACACAGCTGTTTCGATGCCTACATTTGAAGCTGGTAAAATAAATAAATTTTTGTTTCCATCAGAACCGCTTTGAGGGCCTACAGATGGGATTCTAGCTGGTGGTGGTTTGGGTGGTAACCAGAGGTCAGCGGGTGCTCAGAGCCTGTCACTCAGCTCGCCCCTTGGGCCATGAGGCTCACATGGCCACTCAGCATTGCTGAACGCTCGTTAGTGCAGAGCCAGGCGCTGTCTGAGCCTGTGTTCATCATGAGCCATTACTGAAAACAGGAAGCGCAAGAAACACTGAAAATAAATACGCATTAGCAAGGAGTGCATTCGCCTGGAAATCCTCCCTAGCAGCTCCGATTTCTTGTATTGCAGGTCACCTGTTTCTCTGACATTTAAAATATGAACTAAGCCCTGGCCAGTGTGGCTCAGTTGGTTGGGCGTCATCTCATGCATCGAGAGGTTGATGGTTTGATTCCCTGTCAGGGCACATGCCTGGGTTGCAGGTTTGATCCCCAGTAGGGGACACAGAGGAAGCAGCTAATGATGTTTCTCTGCCCCCCCCCCTCTTCCTCTCTCTTTAAAAATCAATAAAAATATTTTATTACAAATATATATAAATTAAAAAAATAAGTGGGTACAGGGGATAAATAGGGGGAAAGGGGATATCTGTAATACTTTCAACAATAAAGATAAATTTAAAAACAATAATAATGAAAATTATATCAAAGGTTTTTAACATAATGAGAATAAAGATAACCCAGTTATAATATATATGGAGAAGTACTTACGTGTATCAGCCTGGGGAATTCTGTCTCATCATTTGGAAACAAATTTAGAGGAAAAGCAAAAGGTGGGGAAAAAGAGGGAGTGAAAGAAGGAAAGGAAATAGCAAATCTGTTTTTCTTTAGCCCCAATGCTTTATAGTTTTAACAAATAAAAATTTAAATTATTGAGGTATTTTTTTAAGTTAGCAACTAACATGCTCTAAAACAACGGTTCTCAACCTGTGGGTTGCGACCCCTTTGGGGGTCGAACAACCCTTTCATAGGGGTCGCCTAAGACCATCGGAAAACACATATATAATTACATATTGTTTTTGTGATTAATCACTATGCTTTAATTATGTTCAATTTGTAACAATGAAATTGGGGGTCACCACAACATGAGGAACTGTATTAAAGGGTCGCGGCGTTAGGAAGGTTGAGAACCACTGGTCTAAAGTCTTTTGATGGAAAGGGCTATAGCTTACTTATTGTCTTCATAGTAGAGAAACAAAAATAAAGACACATACGGCAACCTGCTGGTGATACAAGCTGTGTGTGTATGTAGAGACACATACATATGCTTCTCTAATTATCCTCTAAATATTTGATACTTCCTAGACTCAATCACAAAATAACTCCTACACCTAGATTTATAAGAACATGTTTACAGTTTTGTGTAGTTTTTACATCACAGTGACTTAGTTTTCTAAAGGAGTTTTCTATAGTGAATCATTTATCAGAAATGAATTGGTGTGATTCGAGGTGGTGTCTCCACCGCCCCTCCCTGTGGCGTCTGCGTGGGTCTGTCCACTCAGCCTGCTCATCCCGATGCCACTGTCTTCAAGTGCAACCCTCCCTGAGACTCACTGCCCCAACGCAGGAATTTTGTTTCATTACGAATATCAACCCCATTTCTCTACCCTTTATTTTTCTCTAGAGTGACCCACATCGGGTGGAAGAGACAAAAATGTAGCTATCGAATCCAATCAAGTGTTTCTCTCTCTCAAATTACCAACAACATCCCATCAAGAAAAGTTCTGGTGGGTCCCACATCCGTATGGCTACCCGAGGAGACACGTAAAGGTAAGGACCCCATGTCCTGCTCCTGGCTTACATGCCGACAAACGTCTGGTCTATTTACCTTAAAATATCTTACTTTGAAAAAACGTAAAGATGGGTTTGCAAATGGTGGGTTTTTTATTTGCCAAAGAGCACAAAACCCCTTAGTTTTAATAAATAAACTCAACATAAAGTCAGATTTTGTAATCCATTTCTAAACACAGACTCAGGTAGCCTTCTGTTATCCAATGGTGTCACCCAGAAATAACTTCACAGGAAGCCATAGGGGTAGGTCTGTTCACCCTCTGGCCATTGTACAGAAGCCCCTCTAAAATCAGGTCTCTATTTCTACACTTAGTTCTATTTAGGGAACATTTTATCGTGAAGGAAATCAATCAGTCTTTAATTAGGGCCGTGTTTGCATAGCATAAGTCCTCACAGGCTGCTGTCAGTTACTGTTGGTAAACCTCCCTTGGTGCCACTGTAGAACCTGGGAGCCGTGCTCCTTGCAAAACTTCAGGTTATTAAGGTGTTGGTTTAAGATTTGTTTAAATTGTAGTAAAACATGTATAACACAAAATAAACCATTTCAACCATTTTTATGTGTACAGTCCAGTAGTAGCTGTGTGACCATCACCAACATCTATCTCTAGAACTTTCTTATCTTCCAAAATGTCATTCTTCCCCATTAAGCAGTCACTCCATATTTCCTGCTCCCCCATATTCTGGCAGCCTCCATTCTACTTTCTGTCTCCATGAATCTGACAGTTCTAGGGACTTTATGTGAGTGGAATCATACAGTATTTGTGTTTTTGTGGTTGCCTTATTTCACTTAGGATATCTTCAGGGTTCACCATGTTATTGCATGTGTCAGCATGTCCTTCCCTTTAAAGGCTGATAGCGTTCCATTGCCTGGGGGGACCATGTTTTGTTTGTCTCGTCCTCTGTCCATGCACACTGGGGTTGCTTCCACCTGATAGCTGTTTAGACTCACCCTGCTGTGAACATGATGTGCGGGTACCTGTTTTCAGTTTGAGTCCCTGCTTTCAGGACTGAGTATATATCTAGAAGTGGAATTGCTTGATCATATGGTAATTCTATTGTTAATTTTTAAAGGAACTGCCATACTGTTTTCCATAGTGGCTGTACCATTTTACATTTTCACCAACAGTGTACAAGGCTTCCAATTATCTTCACATCCTCACCAACACTTGTTGTTTTCTGTTTTGTTTTGTTTTGTTTTGCATTTAATAGCTATCCTAATGGGCGTAAATTGGTCCCTCACATGGTTTTGATTTGCATTTCCCTGATGATTCGTGATGTTGAACATCTTTTCTTTCACATGCTTTTTGGCCATTTCTCTGTCTTCTTTGGATAACTTTGTGCTCAAATTCTTTGCCTTAACTGAGTTGTTTTATTGTTGTTGTTGAGCTGTAGGGTTTTTATATATATTCTGCATATTAACCCCTCATCAGATATATGATTTATAAGTATTTTCTCCCATTGCATGATTTGCCTTTTCATTCAATGGTAGTGTCCACTGATGCACAAAATTGTTAATTTTGACGCAGTCCAGTGGGTCTAGTTTTATTTTGTTGCCTGTGCTTTTGGTGTCACATTCAACAAATCGCTGCCCAGTCCAGTGCCATGACGATTCTCCTCTATATTTTCTTGCAAGAGTTTTATAATTTTAGCTTTCACATTATGGTGTGATCTATTCTGAGTTATTAGCTGTTATATTTATACTAGAGACCGGGTGCATGAATTCGTGCATGGGTGGGGTCCCTCGGCATGGCCTGCAGGGATTGAGCCGAAACCGCAGCCTGCCGCTCCTGCCTCTGCTCCTGCTCATCCCGGCCCCACTGCGCCTGCCTGATCAGGAGAGGCTTACTCCACCATAGCAGCGCTCACCAGCTGTGAGTCCTGTGTCTGGCGCCAGTCCCAAGGAGGGGGGGGGGGGGGTGGCCGGGATGCAATCGGCCCTTCCACAGATGGTAGGACACCCTTGCCGGCCTGGGATCTGGATCTGTCCCCCTGATGTTCACGCTGGTTGTCAGGAGCCACTTGGCGGCCACGTTTATATTGTTTCTTCCTTGCGGAGCATCTAGGGAGGGGAAGCAGCCATGGTGCCCGAGGCCAACTTCCAGGAGGCCAGTGGCACTGTTGGGATCGTGCCGGCGGCGCCAGTCCCTCAGTGCCTGACCCATTCTCTGGAGATTGGACCTGCAGGACTACTGAGGGAGTGAGTGGCTGCCACCGGGACGGGTCAGTCAGCTGAGTGGCACTCCTTCTGTGGGAGCACACTGACCACCAGGGGACAGCTCCTGCATTGAGTGTCTGCCCCCTGGTGGTCAGTGCACATCATAGCAACTGGGTCGTTCCACCGTTCGGTCACTGCATATTACGCTTTTATTATATAGGATTAGAGGCCTGGTGTACAAATTCGTGTACCAGTGGGGTTCCTTGGCCTGGCCTGCGGGATTAGGCCGAAACTGGCTCTCTGACATCCCTCAAGGGGTCCCGGATTGCAAGAGGGCACAGGCCAGGCAGAACAACCCACCAGTGCACAATCAGGGCCAGGGAGGGGCACGGGAGGTTGACCAGTCGGGGAGGGACCATGGGAGGGCTCCAGGGCATGTCTGGTCTGTCTCACCCAGTCCTGATCAGCCAGACTCCAGCATCAAGCTAACCTACTGGTCGGAGCGCCTGCCCCCTGGAGATCAGTTCATGTCAGCTACTGGTCGACCGGTCAAATGTCTGCCCCCTGGTGGTCATTGCATGACATAGCGAGCAGTTGAGTGGCCTTAGCATATCATTAGCATATTATGCTTTGATTGGTTGAACGGTCAACTGGTTGACTGGACACTTAGCATATTAGGCTTTTATTATATAGGAGGATTTGTGTCACATGGGTATAATGAGAGCTATCAGTGACTGCACCCTGCCACATGCACCAGCTCTCCAGGCATGCACTGCCGTCCCCAAACCTGTGAGTCTGAGTGACGCCTCTTCCTACTTTAGGGGTCGGTCAAGTGAAGATTGGAGGATTTAAGTGACTGTCCTAAGAAGACGTCATGATAAGTAGCCAGGACAGTACCTGGAGCAGACTGGGGTAGTCTACAGCAGGACAGAAATGAACTTTATTTAGGGTCCAAATTTGACACCACCTACTAATTCCAAGTAGTCTTCAGATTTTAGTTGTTAATCCAATCTGTTTCCAAGCTGCATATAAAGATTCAGAAGTTAGCATTCGAATAAGATATGACAAAAATTACACAGCAAAAAGGCTTTGATCACAGCTACCTTTTCCTGTCACAGAGACCAAGGAGTAAATGTACATTGATCACTTTGCATCAGTTTCTCATTCATTCCACACTTTTGAGTACGTATTTTGTGCCAGGAACTCTTCTAGTCTCGGGAGGTAACAAATGGAGAAGCTGTGGTCATTGCCCTCAAAGAATTCACAGACGGAACACACCTCAGGCGTGGGAGCTGGAAGCCCTTTCCCTTCTCTATTGCAGAGTGCGCTCCTGCCCTGGGAGGGGCTCCGTCACCTCTCGCTGCATCAGCAGAGGCCTGGGTGAGATGAGGTAGGAGAACCCAAAGGAGACCTTACCTCTGACTAGGGGGGTCAAAGGTGTCTTTGAAGGGGAGGCGACCTCAGAACTGGACCTTGAAAATGAGTTCATTAGATGGATAAACCTGTAAATGGCTTACGAGGTAGAAGAGAAATACAAAACCCAGAGACTGGAAGAAGCGAGGCACCAGGATATGGATAGCGGGCACTTGGTGCAGCAGGCACGCGGCGTGTGCAGCTCCACCTTAGGACAAAGGACTTACTGCCGAGTGACTGGCGTCTGGTGTGGGGAGGTGTGATGTGTGCTGTGTGCCCCTGGGGCCCACAGCGGAGAGGATAGGGGCTGGTCTGTCTCGGCACTCTCTCAGGTGGGGTCACAGCAGGGTGGTTTACTCAGGGATGGGTACCTGTCTCTGTCCCCATCGGGAGGCCACCTGCCTCCGCTCCTCAGCCCACCTGTCTGTCTCCAGTGCCCAGGGCCATGCACTCAACCATCGGTTCCTGTCCAGCTGCCATCGTGCAGTTGTTCAGACGGGATCCCTAGGCTGCTCTTCTGTGGTCCTGTCTTTAGAAAGCAGCTGAGAATCAGAAATGCTCGGGCGGACGGCCTGTGGCACCAACTGCCATCACCCAGCACCTGCTGATGGTGGCCCAGTCCCACGACCTTCACTCTCCAGGCTTCCTGCTGACTCCCACTGAGCCCATGTGTCCACAGCAGCCTGCCTCCTTTCAGCACCCTCGGTTAGGAAGCACTTACAGGCCTTGCCTCTTGTTGGAGAGAGAGAAGTGCCATAGAACGAGGTTTTGGTTTAGGGCATTTTCTGTCCTAGTGTGTCCCAATCAGCCCCTGTGGTTGCTGAGCCGTGAGCACTGGGGTGTCTGCGGCTGGCACCCCAGGAAGCCCTGCTTCCTCGGACTGGAGCCCAACAAGAGCCACCTTTGCACCCACTGCCATGTTAGACTTGACTTAAAACCAGTAGCTGCTTCCTGGAAAGCTCCATGAATTGCGCTCTGATGGCGACTGTTCTAAAGAAAAGCTGACCATGCCTCCAGAGGAGGAATCTGCGGAATGGCACCAGCTTTATAAATCCGTGCTCCTGATCCATTTGCAACGAATGTATTTAGAACAGCTAACAAGTGTCACTAGGTTCGTCCTGGCACAGCCGGTAACCATTTGTGTGCCTTTGGGCACATCCCATCAAAGTCTTAATTTCCTTTTCCAAAAAGTAGTAATCAAAGGGCTTTATACAGATCACATGAGGTGGGTCACATGAAAAGAACGTAGACGACAAACGATGAAAATAGTAGCCAAATATTAAGTATCCACTAGGTATCAAGCTTGGTTAGAAAAGTGCCACTCAGCATATATAGCATTTAGTCTTCAAAACCCCCATGAAATTGGTGCTATTCTTACCCATAATTTGTATTAGAGGAAATGATGAGCAGA